GTGTTGTATATTTATATTATGTAACACAAAAGTGATACTGTTGTACTTGGAAGTAAGTGCATGAACTGTTTTTCCGTCCTTTGAGTAGTGCTTTACCTGCTACTTGAGTAAACTACTGGTGTGTTCATCAGGATAGTTGCTGGTCAGGTTTTCTGTAAAAGAGCTGGAAGCTGGACAGCTTCCTTTTCCAAACCCTTGCTCTTTACCTGCCCTCCTCCTCCTCCTCCTCCTCCCCCTCCTCCTCCTCCTCCTCCCCTCCTCCTCCCCCCTCCTCCTCCTCCTCCCCCTCCTCCTCCTCCCCCTCCTCCTCCTCCCCCTCCTCCTCCTCCCCTCCCCTCCTCCTCCTCCTCCTCCTCCTCCTCCTCCTCCTCCTCCTCCTCCTCCTCCTCACCCTCTCTCCCTCACTCTAGTAGTATGGCAACACTATACTTCTTTGCCCAATCTTCTTGTTGCCTTGTCACGTGCTACAGTTGATGCAGCTTCCAAACGTCTCGGCGCTTACAGCCAGTATCGACGCGTCTATGAACTGCTTATCGAAATGGAGCTGAAAAGGTAAGGTAATTCAAAAATGCACTACACATCTACCCTCGTTAGTACAACATTGGTTACAAGAAAAACCTCAAAAAAATTCGCTATAATGTCACCTTCAGCTGCCACAGAGGTTCAAATCCCCTCGTTACAAGACAAAGCAAATGGCCATGGACTACGAATTTGCTTGGCTGTCCTTATGTTCGCTGCAAGCAACTCGGCGTGAAGTTTGAAAACACGATTTCTCTGGATTTTGTTTCTTTCTACCTAGCTCGATGGATGTTTCATGTTGTCTTGTACAGAGATCTGATGAGTGATGGGGAATCGTCTTATAGCGGGTTGTCTTGCACAGGGTCAGGGGAAAAATTGTCTTCAAATGAGGGAACATCATTTCTGCGGTTGCTGCAGTATGTATGATGTAAAATGCCGAAAACTGGTGTAAGTCCTGAGAGTAGATAATAATGCAAGAGCCATTATTCTAACGAGGTGCAAAATTAATGATTTCTTAAAATGGACCAGTTATCGTGTACGAAATATTATCATTCTTCCTCACCGCTGAACACTGAACTATGAGGGAAAGGTACAGATACCGACTTCTGTCTAACTTTTCTCAGATTTCTTCTCGTTAACTCGTTAGATTTTACCACTTTGTTACATTATATTGACTTTCACAGTACTCGCTATAAGCAAGAGTTCATAACCCCCAAGAGTGTGCAACGGGCATAGACCCAGCGCTCGGCAAAATTCCTACATTACATCATGCGCAGCTTGTCATCCGAGGTAAAGTTGGGTTCTTTGCGATTTCTGGAAACTATACCCTGAACCGCTCCTAACTCAAGGCTGTAGCCTCGACTTTTCGAAGCTCTTTTTGAAGACATTTCGGACGTACACGTCGTACTGTCTCAAAAACAAACTCTTTCTCCAAGAATCCATGGACATCGCGATAGGAAGAAGTGAGGACGCTGTTAAAAAATATTGCATTGCCGTCGAGGACAATCATTCTGATAGCTGTGCAACTCGGCCGAAAAATGCTCCTTCGACGTATTCTCTCAAGTTCCTCAACCATTTGAAATCATCTTCGAGGAAAGCACCGGAAATACAGTCGTCCCTCTCTAATCCGGCACTTGTTTATCCGGAACCCTTGCCAACCGGCGCACTTTCTGACGAAACCGATTTTTTTCGTTCGATTCCTACATCTTAATCCTGCACTTGAATTCCGCCTCCGGCAGTGACTTTTTGAAACGAATCGCTCAAACTGCACGTAGTTTGATTTCATAATCCGGCGGTCGTAAATCGCGTACCGTACAGCAGGTGCACTCCTTGCCAGGCCAGGCTAGGCCAGTCTGGTCAGTGCCGCGCGCGCGGGGCCACTTCAGAGTTCAGTTCAGTTGACTGGAGTTGCGGTGCCACAATCACTGCTTCAGACCTGACTGATATTTTCACAATTCGCTGACAGCAAGGAGTAGTGTGCTCAATTTTCAGGTGTGTGTGTGCGTGTGTGTGCAAGAGTACATGTGAACATGTTCTCTGTTTTACTTTATCACTTTATCACTGTGTATATTCCTGGAGAACAGTTGAGAATATAAAGCCGTGCACCAAATACTTGGGTTGACACGGAAAAACCCTGCGTTTTGACGTATGATACATGCATGCAATTGGGTAGGGCCGGGTCAGAGGGCAGGATTTCTTAATCCAGCACCCTCGTTAATCCAGCAGAAAACGCCGTAGCCAAAAGTGCCGGATTAGAGAGGGACGACTGTATGCCGATGGCCTGGGGAAGAAATTGTTCTTGAAGACACTGACTGCACTGGTGAAAGAAGAAGGCGATGAAGAGTCACCATTGCATCGAAAAAATAAATAGTTTTATCTTTAGGATCGTGTGCTTTGTTTCACTTTTGCTTCTTGAGGCTCGGACTCAGACTAGAATCGCAGTTTAACCAGTTTACCCTGGGGAAGCATCCTGGTTTGACTGTAAATTTTAGAAGAATTCATCGGCGTGACTCATCGCACTGCACCAAAAATGACGCAATGAAGGAATTCCGCCGAGCGGGCTTCCATACTGAGACTGATCAGGAGTTGCACACTCTTGGGGGTTATGAACTCTTGCTATAAGATAGAAAGTGTTGTAACCCCCCCCCCCCCCCCCCCACTGGGTTGTCTACTACTAACCAGGGTAGACTTATACTTAGGAAATTGTATGTACAGTCAACTTCGCTAATAACGACTGCGGATATAACGACAATTCGCGAATAACGACAGAATGTCCATGCCCAGAGCAAAGTTCCACCCCACTGTGATACATATAATGAGACTTCGGGTATAACGACACCTTTTTGATGCCCCGCCGAGTGTCGATGTAAGCGAAGTTGACTGTATACTAGAGGATTCCCGGATTCTCCAAAGGCTTCTTGTATGTCAATGCGGTCCACCTGATGCCAAGTTCTTGCTGTAAGTGAGAGATCATCCACCTCGAAGACAGTAATTGCCGAGAAGTCTTCCTCCCTTACTATGCGAGCTACTCAGCTTTCTGTAAGATCCCCAGCGGTGTAGCCCGCATACATGCCAACCGTCCCGGGTTGCCCGGGACAGTCCCGGGTATGACTTGTTTGTCCCGGGGTCCCGGGAGGTCCCGGGATCGAAACGGGACTGTTGAAATCTAGGTTTTTTTCCAATTTTTATGACACCAGATTTTTCAGGCATCCTCGATCTAGAGTCAACCGTGTGCTCGACTTGTATATGCAGCACGTAGAATCTAGTAGATCTACTACTGTAGACACAGCTCGAAGCGCGCCTCGTGTGGACTGGATCGATCGAGTACAGTTAACTGTTTGTAGTACTCGATTATCTGGTGCAACATGATGCATGCATGCACTGAATGCACTGCACTGGCCCGCACACGTGCCTCGCGCGGTGTAGATCTACGCGGCCTGGGCCTAGCTGAGTTGGATAATCATGACATGGGAAGCACTGCAAATATGATCACCAAATATGAATATGATCATCTAGCTCCCACAGGATCGACAAGACCTAGAATGTATGGGCTGCCAAAAATTCATAAAAAAACATATTCCATTACGCCCGATCTTAAGCATGTCTGGATCTCCGCAATACAAGGTTTCGAAATGGTGATGCAATTTGCTGCAACCGGTTCTTGCCTTGTACAATACACATTGCGTTAAAGACATGTTTGAGTTTGTGGAGAAACTTAGAGATTCGAAATTTGAATCAAATGGTTCATGTGCTCGTATGACGTAGAGAGCTTGTTTACCAACGTTCCTTTACGAGAAACAATAGACATTTGCGCCATGGCGTTTTATACCATAACAGGTCTATCACTCCACCAAATTTGAATGAAACGGAGTTGGTGAAACTTATGTTGATGGTCACGCCTTTGGGACCAGTCTTGACGAATATATTTGTTGGCTTCTGCGAGTCGTCTATCGACCCTTCACTTTGGCCATCAATGTACTGTCGTTTTGTTGACGATGTGTATTGTCACGACGACGACAAGGAAACCTGTGATAGGTTTACGGAAACTCAACTCCTTACATCCAGCATTAAAATTCACATCAGATGGTGAAAAAATGGTACCCTTTCTTTCCTGGATGTTCGTATTTCTCATAACATCAAGAGTGCATAAACTGTTTATGGACTCTTGATAACATGGATACGACCATTTATAGAAAGCCAACTTTCACAGGCTTGTAAAGTTTACTCCAACTAAATCCAAAACACACCTCGTCAAGGCCCTTGTCTACCGTGCCCATAGGATATGTTCCCCTCATCTGCTGGATTCCAACCACGGTCAGTTTCTGGACCCTACCAGAAGTGAAAGAGAGTGATAAATATTTGGAAAGGATTAGGAGAACTTCAAATTCAAAATTCACGGCCTGTGCCCAGTCCCGGACCGCCTGGCCTGGATAAACAAGGTATGCGTGAAGCTAGTCTGGAAAAAAAATCACTGAATAATAATCCTACAGTGAAGAAGAGTGCACATGGCATTCGTGTACAGTACACACATGATCCCGTGCTTTATGCACACAAAATTAGTTTACGGCCAGAGTGTACACGGATCTGTGCACGATCGCGACCGGTATTGCCGGCTATTACGCCCATATTTAGTTTTAATGTTAGACGCGACAGCATTTTCACGCTTTACAGTTTTGTATGTGGAAACCCCCTTATATAATAGCAGTTTGGTCTATATTTTTAATCATTCAACATCCTGATGAGCTATGTATTAGCGAAACAGCTGTCTGAAGGAGTTTATCAATATCGTCTACGGAAGTGTCCTCGCAATGGTGATGGTTGTGTGCAGGAGGGTCTAGTCGGCTAAAGAGCGCAGTGTAATGGTGGAGGTGACTAACATTTTACACCAGGGAGTCGTAAAATACCGGTATTTTAAGACTCCCTGGTTTACACCATGCATGTCACATTTCACAGACCACATTTCACATACTGCTTCAGCCAAGTACTGCACACGAATATATTTCAGCTTCCACAAACAAAAAGTGAACAGTCTATTTTGCAATAATGCCAGAGTTCATTAAAAGCAGAGAAGGTAAAATGCAAATCCTAAAAAAAGATCAAGCATAAAAAGGAGAAAAGGCACCAGACAAGCTGTCCGAATAAGCGATGTGTGTGTTTCGTGAAAATGACAGATCGTAGTATACACTCGGCTCAATGGGGGTGAAAACCTCAAGGCAAAACATAGCATTATAGAATAGCCATTAGTGTGGCAGTTCGGAAGGAAAGAAGGAGGGATTCATTCAATGAGCGGGAAGGAGAACATCCAAGCACGCGGATCTAACCTGAGCCGAGTCGGTCTACATGGTTGGTTCGATAAAATATTTATTGTCGAGTAAACAGTTGGTATGACAAGATAATTGACGATATCTACACCGGTATCACGGGTATCTCTCCCAGTTGAGAACGAGACTACCTAATTATGTCATGTGTATTGTCGTGCAACATTATTTGCTTTTCGGCTGAATGGATAGTAAAAACGCAACAGCTGTGAATAGGAGAATAGGTTGTGTTAGTGCCTACAGCCCACCGTACGCAGTCATTGGGGCGTAGAAATCAGGGCACAGCTACTACCGCTACTACCCTATGTTGGTAGCAGTTGAAACACGAATCCATTCATACCCGGTGTTGGTAGAAGTTGAAACACAAATCCATTCTTCACTCACCTACATACCCCAACAGCTAGCTAGTTGTTAGCATCCTGCCCAGACAAGTCCAGGACGTACTGGAACTTCTTGCGAAGGTCCACGCTATTCAGGCCCTCCCAGAAGACCAGGCCACAGCCGCAGCAGCAGACAAATGTATCTATTTCGGCGAGAGTGGCTGCACGTAACGAGTCCAGGTGCAGTGCAGTGCTTGTAGCTGTGAGCAACACCTCTCCGTTTGGAGAGACAACTACTCCTTTATCCAGTGACACAAACGGAACATCCGATGGCGACACAGGCGCTGATTTTTGCTTACCACCCTGCTGCATAGAATGATGGCCGTTTGTCACGTGACCATTGCAATGGTGACCGTTTGCCACATCTCCATTGCTATGGTGACCATTTTGAAGTGATGATGTGTGTGAGGCACTTGCACCATTCACATGCCCGCCGTTACAGTGACCGTTCTGCGGTGATGGTGATTGTGTAGAAGTGCCATTCTCGATTGTCGTGTCTGCAGCGCCATTGCTACCATCACCATGACTACCGTTGACATGTGTCGGCACGGTAGCTGATGATGCAGCCTGGGCTACTTGCTGGCGTATCCGTTGCATGTCGTCGGAGCGTATTCGCTGGTACTCTGTGCAGTTGCAGTTCTGCAGAGTGAGAGAGAAAACAAAGAGAAGAATGAAGTATGATAATATTCACTTCCAAAGTCGAGCCCTCTTTCAGTGCTCACCCCCATTACAGTGCCGCTCACTGAAATCCCCACCCCCCGTTCTTCGGCACCCGGCAGTATTGTACTAACCTGGCAGCGGCTAAAGAGGTCATCCGGCTGAACATTGACGTTGAAATGCTGCAGCACCTCCAGAACCTGATCCCGAATTTGTCCCGACGGTACAGCAAACACACGGCCATACGCTACTTCTTGACGAAACTGAAGTCAAAATACATGTGCGTGTACAGCACATGAACATACACACATGTACACACACATGTACAAAACACACACATGTACACACACGTGTACACACACACACACACACACACACACACACACACACACACACACACACACACACACACACACACACACACACACACACACCAGAACAAACCGGCACATAGCAACGGTAAATGAACTGCGATGCATTACAGCAAATCGATGACAAACTCTAAAAGTATAGCGTCCCGGCAGGGAAAGGTGACACCACGGGAACTTGTAAAGAGCGTGAAACTGGCCTGTCGGGTCTTCGATGGCATGTGTTCCACGACCTCTGCAAGAAGGTGTTGTACTATGCACAGCGAAGCTTAGCGCGTGCGCATTAACAGTGATTTGTCTACTTTCCCTCAGGCAGTGCTCCTTTTAGTACTAACAGAGGTTTCCCCACTTTCCTTCAGGCAGTTCTCCCTTTACTGTCAGGCGCGTAGCCGGCAGTGTTTCCAGGTTGCCCGGAAACCCCCTCTGGGGTTGCAGCGCAGACGACGAAACCTTCGAAAACTACGGTAACACTCTCTTGAGTGCATGCATACGTAGTCACAGGAAGTACAAAGTGATAGTACGGTGCATTTCTTTTTCTTTGTTAATTTACAGGTCAATGCATGGAAAAGAAGGCCTTGTCTATACAAGTAATTACCAACCACACAACAAGCCGACCTGTTTGGGAGCTATTACGCGTTGTATTACCAGGAGATAGGCAACAATTGCCGCATACAATATGCAATATTCTGGTCCAATGCCAGAGCTAGTATTGCAAGCACCGCTGTACGTTAGTATGGCCAATGCCGACACTAACTGGGGCAACAATTGCCCGGCGAGAATTCAGACGTGTCAATACACGAGCATGCAGTAGGGATGCACTTGTGGGCGAATGTAGGCGCACTTGGCTCAATGCCGGCCTGACCCACGATCCCTACTGTTGAATTCAGATGTGTCAATACACGAGCATGCAGTAGGGATGCACTTGTGGGCGAATGTAGGCGCACTTGGCTCAATGCCGGCCTGACCCACGATCCCTACTGTTGAATTCAGATGTGTCAATACACGAGCATGCAGTAGGGATGCACTTGTGGGCGAATGTAGGCGCACTTGGCTCAATGCCGGTTTACTATAGTAGAATGACCCCCCAGCAGATGGACCCCCGGGCATTGTACTATATAGTAGAGTGACCCCGGGGTCACTCTACTATATAGTACAATGCCCGGGGGTCGTTCTACTATATAGTAGATTGCCCCCCTGTCATTCTACTACAGAGTCCACCAGACTTGTCGTTTCGCACGTGCAGGTAGAAAGGGATGGAGTTTACACCACAGATTCCACGTGGACATTATGGATTGTGGCAAGAGTCCGGGGTTATGTACTCTTGATTGTGGGAATATGTGGTGAAAAGTCCACAACATTTGTACATAGGTCGCGCACTTTTCCTCTTTAGGAGACATGAACATCCCACCTTGTGTTGGATTGTTTTTGTTTTGGAGTTGGAAGAAAGTTTGCAAGTTCAGTGTTCCTTTGCGTTTTCTGTGTGCTCCTTGCTCCTTTTGGATTATTGTGTGTGTGATAGGTGCATTGATATTAAAACAGAGAGGTTCCAGGCTGTCCAAGAGAGTGCTCAATACCGAGTGGTAGAGCAACAAAAGCAAAAGGTGCAACCTGTGCCTGGCAGAGAAATTGGCAATCGCGCAAGCACCCAAGCACCTCTCTCTCAACAAAAGGAGTGAGCTTGTGTCGAAGTGTCGCCATGAGAATAGGTACTACCTTCGGAACTTTAAACCAGCTACAGCCATCACCTAATTAAGTAAGAGACAACCAGCTCCAGTGGTTGTCACCTTTCACCACTGCTGTCATTCACGCTTTCCACTGCCGCTATTTACACTTTGCTTTGTGAGGATATAAACCAATACTGATCCAGATTTCCAATTACTGTTTTCTGATGATCGCTTAGTGCGTGAAACTCTGAGTAAAAACACTTCCTCTGTCCTCCTATTGTTTGGTGCATTGATATTATAATAATATCCTCGATCCTTTTCAGTAATAGAGAAATTCATAAGTAGGTAAATAGGTGAAATAACCATTCTCATTCTAAGTGTTAGACCAGTATTTTGTAGCTGTTCAAGTATTTCACTTTTAGGTATCAATATTTTTTATAGTATCCTCTCTTTTCTATTCGGAACATGGAGGGTGAAACGTACGAGGCTATTTGCGCCTACAAGGAGAGTGGGAGCTATCCGCATCACATCCTGGAGATGGCGGACAAGAATGAGGCGAAACAACAAAAGCGAAACTTCAGGAGAAAGTGCGAGGCTTACACTCTCAAAGAGGGAGTCCTCTACCATATTCCCACATCAAAGAAACCCAACTCCACGAGAGAGGTTCCCAGAGAGGGCGACCGTGCTCGGATCATTCGGGCATTTCACGGAAATCCTGCTGGTGGCTGCCACTTTGGTGTCACAGCCACTTTCAATAAGCTTTCTGAGCGGTTTTATTGGAAGGGGATGTACGACGCCGTGCAAACCCACGTAAATGCCTGCGAGGAGTGCCAGCGGCAGAACACCCTGAAGAAGGGGCCATCCCAGCTCCATCCAGTGCCCTTTCCTGACCACTGCTTTGGTCAGTGGGGCATGGATTTGGTCGGTCCCCTCAAGGCAACGCCCGGTGGTAACCAATACATCATTGTATTCACTGAATACCTATCGAGATGGGCGGAGGCCAAGCCTTTGCCCGACAAGACAGCGGTTGGTGTGGCCAGCGCTCTAATTGAGTGCGTTGTTTCAAGGTTCGGGTGCCCGTCAACCATCATCAGCGACCAGGGAAGGGAATTTGTGAATGCCATAAACCAGGAGCTCTGCAGAGATCTCGATATTTCGAGGAATCTCTGCAGTGCATATCACCCGCAGTCCAATGGCTTGACGGAACGCCTGAACCAAACCCTCATCCACCAGCTGCGAAAGCTGGTTAACGAGTCCATGGACAACTGGGACAGCCTGATCCCATGGGTCCTGATGTCCTACCGGGCAAATAGGCAGGCATCAACGAAATTCTCACCGTTTGTTATCGTGTACGGGCAACAGATGCGATTGCCCATTGAAGTAGATGGCGAGCAAGACCACGAAAGCCAACCCTATTGTGATGCCGATGAAGAGAAAATGATGAGTCAGCGGATGGAAAGGATAAAGGGCTTGCCATCAATGGAGCTGCCACCATCAGTACTACAATCACGACAACAGCTACCACCACAAGCAGCCGAAGTCCTGATGTTGTTATTACTGGCACTACCACATCACCATCGCAACATCTCTTTGCTCCTCCCAATGTACAGTGGCAAAGAAAGGTGTGCAACAAGGAGAATCTAACATATGTGTCTAAATCCGGGCCCTATGGCCAAGTATGCAACAAGCCATTCAACGCTTTTTCAAAGCCGACCAGGAACAAGCAGATTGGAGGTGATGGCAACTGCTTTTTCCGAGCTGTAGCCTATGCAGTGACTGGCAGCGAGGACCAGCATGCGGAAGTGCGTCAACTTGTTTGTGAGCACATCAACGGGTCAGCTCTGGAATTTGACGGAACAACTGGTGACGACTACCTCCAAAGGAAGAAGATGCGAGAACTTGGAGTTTGGGGCACAAACGATGAATGCCAAGCGGTTGCCGACTGGCTTCAAGTTCCTGTATTTGTTCTTTGCCAGTTTGGAAGTCGTCTGAGCTGGCAGAAGCATACACCTCGCAGTGCAGGCAAGAACCAGTTTGGGATTTACCTCGACAATTCCTCTGGGTGCCACTACAATATTGTGATGTCTGTTGGACGAAAGTAAAATATATGCAACATATTGTGCGTGCATCCTCCCCTAGCTTTCATTCAGTGTGTTGATGATTGTTACTTTTTGATCTAGGGGATTACTGTGACTTTTCTCCTTGCCCCTAAAACTGTTTTCTCCTTGGTTTGTCTAATATACAGCGTATGCTGCATGCTAAGGACTATGATGTTTATGGTGCTATACAAAATCTTAATAATCCTTCATGTTTGTGCTGCCATGCTGTGTTCACCTGCGTGCTCACTCCGCAATGTAAAGTGGTAATTACATCACATAATGACCATATTACACTCTAAATACATTATACCATGCTTCTTATTTGTGTCATTCTCTTACCACCTCAAATATATCACCCTGTTTGCACGAGAGATATCATGCATGTTTTTTTGTGAGAATTTAATTCCTGCTCCTCTAATTTACAACCTCTCATTCTCACTAGTTTGTTAACTGTTGGTCATAATCAATTAAGCAGCATTGTTAGTAGCATCCTTTTGTTGTCAGCCACTACCTTGGTTACCAACATAAAATATCACCAATTGGCGAAGGCTTTGTGATTAATTATATATTTCTATTCTCTCCATGAAGGCAGAAATGCGATAAAAATGGGGTCATAATACTCTCGTAGTCAGAAGTACAATACATTTTTTTGAGAGACCAAACATTTCCATAGAAATTCCCAACACACGTACACCCCGAGCACTTTGAGCGAGTTTGGTTGGTTGGTTTTTATTTTACTTCGCATGAACCAAACGGGCAGAGTTGCCCAATGACATGGGAGCGAAACTAATAAGAGTTTTGTTTCTGATCCTTGAAAGAGGAGAATGACAATCCCCAGGTTTGATTAAATTTTAACCAATGTGTGCATCTGTCAGAGAGAAAGAGTATGACCTCGGGGTCGATCTACACGTGTATACGTATACGGTGTAGTACTAGCAAGAGTTCAGGAGGTCACGGACCTCTACTAAAATAGCGGCCGAGGGGGGTCGTTGTACTATATAGTAGAGTGACCCCGGGGGCAATCTACTATATAGTACAATGACCGGGGGGGGGGGGGGGGGGGGGGGGCCTTCCACTACGGGGGTCATTCTACTATATGACACCGGCCTGACCCACGATCCCTACTGTTGAA